ATCTGAATAAATGAATAAATTCAAATGTAAAAAATTTAAAAATATCTCTATTGAACGAGATATTTAAAACAATTTTAGTTAAAATCAAAGCTGAAAACTCTCATTTCAACGCAATGCTTGTGATATGAAGCCAAAATCCGTTTTCATCTTCCACAGAATGTGGTTTGATTGATTAGATGATCAAATGTTTTGGACCCAGTTTACTCCTGTATTTAACATTCATTAACATCCACTTGCAATCTGATCATCCAAGACGGAAGTCAATAGTGGGTGTACATGGTATTTAATTTATAAATTAGCATTATGAATAATAAATAATCTAACATATAACAAAAAATAATTAAAACAATTTAAAATATCTAATAAATAAGATAATAAATATTTATACATAAACAACAACAAAAGAGTAAACATTTTAAAAAAAAGGTTCAGTTAGTTAATGAATAAGGTATCGTGACAAATAAACGAAAAATATTTTTATAATATAGGTTAAATATGCTAAAGTTTCAACAAATGTAATGCAACTCAATCTGGCCTGGCCCCTTTTTTCTCCATATGCATTTGGCAGAAATTATTTAAATGAAGAATATTGTCATGTGTGCTACATTCCCAGAAGAAAACTCAAATTTACAATCGAGGCGCTTTAGGGCGTTCAGAAACAGTGTGCACTTCCACAGTATGTGGAATAACTGCAAAATGTTACCAATGAAAATTCAAGAAAAACTCTAAATTGTGTTACTGTGCCTGTTGTGCTGGAGGACACTTCAGTCCCTGTGGAGTCTCTGCTTGCTGAATCATTTGGCACGTCTGCTCTCAGGAACAGTCTGGCCTAGTTGCAGCTGTACACTAAGTAGGCTACGCAGCTCGGCCTGGCACCCCAATAACCTACAACTCCTTCAGAGCATCCCCCACAGTCCTCCTGTTTTTCTTCCTTCTCCGTAACTGGAACAGCCCTAGTAAGATGTGTAGCTGTGTGCTGTGTGTACATAATCAGCAGTGGTAGAACCTTCTGTGTGGATAGTGGGAGATCCTGTTACAGTATCAACAAACTCTGTCCGCCTCAGGGAGTCTTGTGCCATGTGTGCTAACAACATAAAGGAAAAACTCACAACGCTATCCATCACACAGACAGGCACATCATTTACAATACATTTATTTAAACTAAGGTCAGTTGATGGTTGTCACTGGAGTCAAGTTTGATAGCTTAATGTTAGAGCAGCACTTGAGGGAATAAATTACAAAGGAAATGTCAATCTTTTTCATTATAAAAGTAAATATGGCCTTAGGTATCAGAGGGTTAAAGCAACACCAAGTAACTTTTTCTCTGCGGTCGCCCTACAGGTTGGAAGCGGAAACTGTCGTAAATAATTTAGCCTACCGCATCCTACTGTCACACGTGCACATGCTCTCCAGCACCGGCTTTTGAATCATGATGACATTTCAAAAAACTACCCCGGCTGCTAGGTTTCTTATATGTTGTAGTCTAATGTCGAGTACGCTCTACCTATCGCCAATTGTAATGCTTTCCGTAAAGCAAGTCAAATTTGTAGTTTTCTTATGTCTCATTCGGACTACAAAAACGCGACCCGATCTGGCAATCTTACATAGCGTGGATATATCAGATAAAGGGCCGCAAAGCGGTGGCATAAGTGCATTTCACCATGTCACGACTTGATGAACCACTGGAACAATTTTGAAAACATTATTTTTAAGGTAAAAAAAAATCTTGGAAAAAAAAAAAAGCTGGAATTGCCAAAGCCAAGCAACTGATGCAACATGAGAGCCCGTTCTCAATCCTTAACGTCATATAGAACGCTATATGACAAAACGGCGCTATACTACGCACATGGCACCCTTTATCG